GGGAAAGAGACAGCCAAGAAAAATTCTCCAGGGATCACAGTCAACCATGGGTTTCAGGAAGTCTGTATACAAGCATTAGGCTTCACTCGCTTAGGGGCAATCACAGCAGGATGTGAGCAGTCTTGGAAACACTTTCCAGTCTGCACAAAAACTCAGCACAATGTGGAAGCCTCTTTGGCACAAGGGCCTTAAGCAGAACTTCTGACCAAACACTAGTTGAACAATAAGCTACTCTCATGCAGGGGCAATGCCTAGGAAGTCAGGCTTTAACATAAAAGTTAAAGGAGTTTGGGAGACGGTGTGCATGGCCAAGGCTGAACATTCTTAGGAGGGATCAGAGGGGGAAGCTACTGGTCTCTGGCTGAACATAGGCCAAGAAAAAAAAAAGGTCCTCAAGCTGTGATAGCAGCATCCAAACCACACATAAATCCAATGGTAAAGGGTAAAAAATATAACTGTTCAAGGGGGCTTAAGCACACCCATTGACCAATAAGTGGCTTATGCTGACCCAGGGGTGACCCCTGGGAAGCCAGACTAAAATATAAAAGCAAGACAAAATCTGAGTAGGGACATCAGAAGCTTCACACTGCAGGGGAAATAGACTTCACAGAGTTAGTTCAGCAAGTCACTAAACAAATAAATGACCAAGGAAAGAACAGCATCAATTCCTGGGGGATGGAGAGAATTGGTATCCAGAGTTGCTAGTATAATATCTAAAACATCCAGTTTTCAACAAAAACTATTTGACACACAAAAAAACAGTAAAGTGTGACCCATGCATAGGAAAAGAAGCAACCATTATATTTTCAAAGAACTAAAGAATGCTTAAAGAATTAAAAGAAGACTTGGGAATTCAATGGCAGTCCAGTGATTAAGACTCAGGTATTTATTTATTTATTTATTTATTTAGGCTGTGCTGGGTCTTAGTTGCAGCATGCAGGCTCCTTAGTTGAGGCATGCGGGATCTTTAGTTGTGGCATGCAAACTCTTTGTTGTGGCATGAATGTGGGATCTAGTTCCCTGATCAGGGATCGAAGCTGGGCCCCTGCATTCGGAGTGCAGAGTCTTACCCACTTGACTACCAGGGAAGTTCCTAGGACTCAGCTCTTTCACTGTCATGGCCTGGGTTCAATCCCTGGCCCAGGAACTAAGATCCCACAAGCCGTGTGGCGTGGCCAAAAAAAAAAAAAAAAAGAAAGAAAAAAAAGAAGAAGATGATGACAATGTCTCATCAGATAGAGAATACCAATAAAGAGAAATTATATAAAAGAACCAAATAAAAATTCTGGAGATGAAAATTCTGGTACAATAACCAAAATGAAAAATTCACTGGGGCTTTCTACAGATTTGAGTTGGCAGAAGAAAGAACTGGTGAACTTGAAGACGGGTTCAATAGAGATAATGCAATCTGAAAAACGAGAAAAATAATCAGAGCCTCAGACTAATGTGGGACACTATTTAGTGCACCAACATATGCATAATGGAGAAAAGGGAGAAAAGGGGGCATAAAAATTATTAGGAGTCATGGCTGAAATTTCCCCAAATTTGATCATAGACATTAATCCGTACATCCAAGAAGCACAATGAACTTCAGGTAGGATAAACATAAAGAGATCCACACTGAGATATGTCATAGTCACAACATTGAAAGTCAAAGATAAAGAGAAAATCTTAAAAAAACAGCAAGAGGAAAACAATTCATCACATATAAGATTGACAGCTGACATCTCATCAGAAACAATGGAGGCCAGAAGATGGTATTCAAAGTGCTTAAAGTAAAATCCTGTCAACCAAGAATTCTATAACCAGCAAAACTGTCTATCAAAACATAAAGATATTTCAAAATTAAGGGAAGCTGAAAAAAAAATATTGCTAGCAAGCCTGACATAAGAAATACTAAAATAAGTTCTTCAGACTGAAAACAAATGACACAAGATAGTAATTCAAATCCATGAAAAACAAAGTGTCAGTAAAGATGGATACTTTCAAAAGACAGTATAATTGCATATTTCCCTTCTTTTCTTCTCTTGTTTAAAAAGTAATTACCTAGGATATATGTATATAACTGTATTCTTAGGCTTTTCTTGACACATACTTATAGAAGTATGTGTCAACATTTTGTCAAAATGTTATCTGACAATAACAGCACTGAGGAGGGAGGTGGGAACAAAGCTGTTTTGGAATAAGGTAATGACACCAGATGGTAACTCAAATCCACAAGAAAAATAGAATCAGAAATGCTAAAGTTTAGTATAATTTTATAAATATATAATTACTCCACTTTCTTCTCACAGAATCTTTAAAAGACATAGGATTATGTAAAGTAAGGATTATAAGAATTTATTGTTGGGTTTATAATATATATGGACATAATATGTATAACAATAACACAGAGAAGGGAAGGAGACATCTACAGACCACTCCACCTACAAAAGCAAAATACAGGGGTTTCCCTGGCAGTCCAGTGGTTTAGACTCCGCACTTCCAATGCAAGGGATGTGGGTTTGATCACTGGTCAGGGAACTAAGATCCCACATGCTGCATGGTGCAGCCAAAAAAACAAAAAACAAAAAGCAAAATATACGTTCTTCTCATGGGCACATGAAACATTCTCCAGGATAGATCATATGCTAGGCCAATAAAACAAACCTCAGAATATCTAAGATGACTAATATCATACAAAATATGTTCTCTGACAACATGGAATGAAATTAGAAATCAATAACAGAAGGAAATTTGGGAAATTTACAAATATGTGGAAATTAACATAGTCCTAAAGAACACAAGGGTCAAAGAATAGATCACAAAGGAAATTAGAAAATACATTGAGATGAATGAAAATGAAGACAAATATACAAAAACTTATGGGATGAAGGAAAAGCAGTGCTCAGAGGGAGATTTGTACCTGTTAAAGTGTATATTAAAATAGAAGAAAGATCTGAAATCAATAACCTATCTTTTCACCTTAAGAAATTAGAGGGCTTCCCTGGTGGCGCAGTGGTTGAGAGTCCGCCTGCCGATGCAGGGGACACGGGTTCGTGCCCCGGTCCGGGAGGATCCCACATGCCGCGGAGCGGCTGGGCCCGTGAGCCATGGCCGCTGAGCCTGCGCGTCCGGAGCCTGGGCTCCGCAACGGGAGAGGCCACGACAGTGAGAGGCCCGCGTACCCGAAAAAAAAAAAAAAAAAAGAAATTAGAAACGGATCAGAAAACTAAACCCAATGCAAGCAGAAGGAAGGAAACAAAATAAAGCAAAGTGGAAATAAATAGAGAATGGAAAAAAAAAAGTCAATGAAACCAAAGCTGGTTCTTTAAAAAGATCAGCAAAACTGATAAACCTTTAGCTAAACTGACACACACACGCACACACACGCACACACACACACACACACACACACACAAATATGACTAAAATCAGAAATGAAACAAAGGAATCACAAGACTTCTCTGGTGGTCCAGTGGGTAAGACTCCATGCTCCCAATGCAGGGGGCCTGGGTTTGATCCCTGGTCAGGGAACTAGATCCCACATGCATGCCACAACTAAGAAGTCCACATGCCACAACTAAGAAAGTCCATATGCTGCAACTAAGAGTCTGCATGCCACAACTAAAAAAAAAAAAAAAGAAAAGAAAGGAATCACTATCAAGCTAACAGAAATAAAAGGGTTATGAGAGAATACTCTGGGGGACTTCTGTGGTGGTGTAGTGGATAAGACTCCATGCTCCCAATGCAGGGGGCCCGGGTTCGATTGCTGATCAGGGAACTAGATCCCACATGCATGCTGCAGCTAAGAGTTTGCATGCCACAACTAAGAAGCCTGCATGCCACAACTAAGGAGCCAGTGAGCCACAAGTAAGGAACTGGTGAGCTGCAACTAAGGAGCTCACATGCCTCAACTAAGGAGCCCTCCTGCCACAACTAAGTCCCCACACAACCAAATAAATAAATATTAAAAAAAAGAATACTATGAACAGTTCTATACCAATAAATTAGATAATCTAGATGAAATGGACAAGTTCATAGAAACACAAACTACCAAAACTAACTCAAGGAAATATAGAAAATCTGAAAAGACTCATAACAAATAAAGAGATTGAATTAGTAATTTAAAAGCTACCCACAAAGGAAAACCCAGGACCAGAAGTTTTACAGGGGAATTCTACCAAATGTTTAAAGAATTAACACCAATCCTTCACAAACTCTTCCAAAAATAGAAGAAGAGGGGACACTTCCCAACTCATACTGTGAGATCAGGTACTTGATATCAAAACCAGAGAAAGACATCACAAAACAAAGAAAACCACAGACCAACATCTCATGAATATACACAAAAATCCTCAGCTGATTACTAGCAAACCAAATCTAGCAACATGTATAGAGGATTACACACCATTACCCTAGGATTTAACCCAAGAATGCAAGATTGGAATAATATATGAACATCAAACAATGTAACACACCACATTAATAGAATACAGGACAAAAGTGACATGATCCTTTCAATAGATACAAGAAAAGCATTTGACAAAATCTAACACCCTTTCATGATAAAACATATATAACAACCAAGCAAGACAGGGAAATTCCTCAGCATGATAAAAGAGGTCCACAAAACACAGCTAATATATTTAATGGTGAAAGGCTATACTTTCAGGCTAACAGCAAGAACAAGATTTCTATTCAACAGTGTACTGGAGGTTCCAGCCAGGGAAAATAGGCAAGAAAAATAAATAAAAAGCATCAAGTTTGGAAGGGAAGAAGTTAAACTATATTTGCAGATGACATCTGTTATGTGGAAAAACTTAAGGAATCCCCTATGAAACTATTAGAATTAATAAACAAGTTCATCAGGGTTATCAGATACAAGATCAGTGTACAAATTTTAATTGTATTTCTATACACTAACAAGGAAATATCTGTTCACTTGTCTGTTCTGTCTCTTATGGACCACCATCCTGATGTTCAGTATCTTGAAAACAATTGTTTCATATATTTTGTCTCTTGTTTTACATATTTTGTTTGGTTCCTTCTACTTCATCTTGGCTGGGTATAGAAGTCAGTAATTATTTTTTGTCTTGGAAAATATAGTTTTCATAAACATGTATCATGGTAATACGTACTAATGTTCTTATTGATTTTTTTTTTTTTAATCAGCGTCAGGTCTTAGGTACAGCGTGCAGGATCTTTGGTTGAGGCACGCGGGATCTTGTGTTGCAGCACCCACGCTTCTCTCTAGTTGTGGCGTGCGCGTTTTCTCTCTCTAGATGTGGCGCGTGGGCTCCAGGGTGTGTGGGCTCTGTAGTTTGCGGCACGTGGGCTCTCTCACTGAGGCGCGCAAGCTCAGTAGTTGTGGCGCGCGGGCTTAGTTGCCCCGCGGCATGTGGGATCTTAGTTCCCCAACCAGGGATTGAACCCACGTCCCCTGCATTGGAAGGCAGGTTCTTTACCACTGGACCACCAGGGAAGTCCCCATTCTTATTGATTTTTAAATGAATTGATAACTAATTAAAATTTTTTCATTTTAATTTCTAATATGGTAAATATTGATAGATATAACCCATATAAATAAAAGTATCCTTGCTCTACCTTGGTATATCCTTGGTACCAAACTATCTTTGGTATCCTCAATACTTTTTAGAACCATTTACATATATGAGTTTATTTAATCCCCACAAAGTCTTTATTAGGATTATTGTTATCAACCCTGTTTTACAGGTGAGGAGACTGTGGCTCAGAGCAGGGAAGCAGTTGTCCATCACGCAGGAAGTGTGAGACAGTATCTGAACCCACGTAGCCTGACTCTATGGTCTATACTCTTCAAACCACGATGCCACACTGCCCTTCAGAGCATGGGTTTTTCCACTTGTTACAGTGTTTCTAAGCCTCAGAGTAACCATTAGATGCTGGCCCAGCCCCTTTTTTTCCCAGGTGTCTGCACCCTTCTTGCCCAGCAGAATCCTTGGACTCCAAGTGTCTTCATGTAGACAACTCTGGGGGTGGCCCCAGGGGAAAAGATGTGCAGCTGATTTCTGCTTTGTGTTCATGCTTGGAACCCACACTTACGGACTCGGTCCTAATCGACAGACAT